GTTGCTAAGGCCGCAGACCGTGCCGAGAGAGGTGGCACTCGTAGTGGTGTTGTCATTGTAGATCCACAGCTCACACCAGCACAGAGGGCAGCAGTCGAGGAGGCTGAGCGTCGTCATGGTGGTCCACCTGGAACTATCATGATGGTAGGACATCGTCTGGCCATTGAGGAGCCTCAGCCTCAGGGGGAGTCCCAGCAGGAGCCACAACAGCAGCCCCCACCAGCAGAGCCTTAGCCAGCTCAGGAGACTCAGGAGAGCCAGTAGGCCGAGGAGACCGAGCAGGCACCCCAGCTACGCCGCTCTGGTCGTACCAGTACTATAGTTCCACCGAGGCCAGCCACACAGCGCAGGGGTTCACGCCCACCGCCCAGACCATAGGGTCCGCCTCCAGTGGTACACCTTGACTTGAGGGCCGCCACAGCCAGACAGGTTCGCCAGCTGAGGTTTGTTGAGTTTGACGTGTGGTTCCCTCCGAGGAGGGATGAGAGAGCAGCAGAGGGGTTCTACACGCCACTGCAGGAGGATTTCTACAACGCTTATCTCAACAGTGGGGCAGTGTTCAGATCTCAGTGGGTATGCAGTATAGAGTCTATTGTGGCAGCAGCCAGAGAGCATATCCGCCCCTACTTGTCATATTTGCCGGGGCTCATAGATCTGATTGGCCGGACAGGAGTATATGTACCATCTTGGGTTCGGCAGTTCTACGCATCGCTCTATGTTGACCCACATCATAACTTCATTCACTTTGCATTGAACGGCAGAGATTACAGGGTGATGAGTTTCAGGGCCTGGGAGATACTGAGGATACAGGATCAGCCTGTCAAATTGCATGAGGTGTGTTATGGACAGCAGGAGCCTCCCAGACGTCCTCATGGAGGGTTGGTGCCCCCTACTGATCTTGTGCGCCATTGCTTCAAGGAGCCCTTTGGTGAGGGGTCGAGGAGGAACCCCAGTGACCTGACTCCTATAGCTCGAGTACTAGAGGCTATCATCAAGAGGACACTACTTCCCCGGTTGGGATACAGAGAGGGTCTGACTCGCCTACAGCTCTGGCTCCTTAATGCCCTGATGCAGCAGACCGTGTTCGACATTTGGGACCTCCTTCTATCAGAGATGGAGGATACTATAGCTGAGGGTTTCAAGGGTTGCAGGCAGCTTCCTTACGCACATTGGATCACATTCTTGATGATCAAGTCTGTGCAGGTCAGGACCCTAGAGATGGTTGCTGAGTACAAGGGTGCCACTACTGAGTTTCCAGCTTATAACATGGCACAGAGGATCAGGCACAGCACACCATAGGCACCTACTCGGCCCAGTCATCGTCCAGATGTTCTAGAGTCAGTAGCTCAGTAGGACGAGATTATCGGAGGCATAGCCGCTACTGAGGAGGAGTAGCTTGAGGCACAGCAAGAGATGACCGAGTCTAGTGACAGTTCGGATGATGACTATCAGCCGATTCCTCAGATGCCTCCACGTAGACATGATGTAGAGGCCGGCAGTTCCAGCTCAGCCCCACCTACACCGCAGACGGACCCTGCCTTGATTGCTATTCTTGAGCGGATGCAGCAGGATCAGGCACGACAGGCACAGGAGACCGCTGCCAACTTTGCACAGTTTTAGGCTCGTCAGGACGAGTTCCAGCGCCAGCAGCAGGTCCTCCAGCAGCAGCAGCAGATGCATCAGCAGCAGTTACTTATGCAGCAATAGCTCATGGGATTCATGCAGCATGTAGTGATAGCTCTTGGGGCTCCACAGCCATAGCCTTCACCTCAGCTTGCTCAGCCTGCCACCACTACGACGACTCCAGCTGTACAGCCCAGTGGGCTCTAGAGTCAGGGACAGCCTCCAACTCAGTTTGCTTCACCTCTAGTACAGGTGTCCCAGTGGTTAGCATCACTAGTAGTGGCCCCGCAGTTCACTCCACTTCAGATGGGCTTCACACCGGATCAGTCATCCTCGCTTTTCGTGCCTGACACGTCAGTCTCCAGGAGCCTTGGAGCATCTTTCAGCGAGTTGATAGGCATGCCTACACCGCCACATATGCATGCTGCCGGTCCTTCTACAACAGCTCCAGTCGCCGTGATGACACAGAGGCTTCCCAGCTCAGTTGCTTCCTCAAACCCGACAGATGTACCAGCAGCTTCACAGGCAGCACCGGCCCCAGCTCAGACCCAGACTGCTTCAGTGACACTTCCTGCTTCAGAGGGTCAGTCAGTACAGAGCTCAGGGTCAGATGATGATGGTGCCTAGTTCCAGCTTGCCCCTCGCACTTCAGCGCCCGTCTCATCCGCTGCAGCCCCACCGACCGACCCTTAGTTTTGGTGTTAGACGCCAAAGGGGGAGAGGGACGAGTATGTAGATTCAGGGGGAGCGTCTATTTAGGGGGAGCTTAGATTATTATTAGCTTTATATTATGACATTTGGAGTTTCTATGTGTGATACACTATTACTATTATGCATTCGTGTGTTTACTTTCACGCATTTATTTATATCCATGTGATAGTGTTATCTACGTGATTGTGATATATGATATGTGTGCTCTCTACTTCGAATTCTTTATGTGTCATATCACTTATGATGCTCATTTGATTTGCTTCCGTGCTTTACTCTATTGCAAATGAGCCTCATGATTAGTACTCATGCTTATTTCATATCTTTTGAGTACATGATGATGGCTTGGGTCATATAAGCTTGCCTAACACTTTTGTTCTTATTGACAAAAGCTTATATGATCCAAGCATGTTTTAAAACCTCAACTCTTTCACATACTCGAGGTGGTATTGTTATGAATCACTAAAAAGGGGGAGATTGAAAGCATCTAGGCCCCTTTGTTGGGTTTCGGTGATTAATGACAATACAAGATTACTATGACTAACGTGTGATTTACAGAGACAATTAAGTTAGGTCATGGTAATGGAGATCGATTGGGCAACGAGGTGGTCATGCCCCTACGATGGAAATCGTTTCGGTTTTCAAAGGATGGACGACAAGGTTAAGGGTGACTAGTTCTAAGTGTCGATTAGAGTTGGAGTGACACTTAGAGTAGTTTAGGACTTTGTTTTTCCGTTGGCCGTACTATTAAGGGGGGTATGGATGGGTAGCTTGACCTAGATGAGTCTAGTGAGTTAGGTGTGGTGCACACTTGTTTAAACTAGCTCTAGGTAGCTCCTACATATGCCTAAGATCTAATGGAGCAAACTTCATTCACACATGATCGAGAGTTGAAGGTGAATGGAGGGTCAAATACTAACCGGACGCTGGCCCCGGTGCGACCGGACGCTGGCCGCAGGGTCCGGTCAGTTCATTTGATCAAGGGACTACGTTCGATGCGACCGGACGTTGGAGTGGTCAAGTGACCGGACGCTGAGAGGCAGCGTCTGGTCGACTCCAGTAAGGTTCCAGAGAAGAGAATCTGCGACTGGACGCGTCCGGTCAGTTCTGACCAGATCCTGAGGGTTCGTCGTCCGGTCGAGTCTAGTAAGGTTCCAGTAAGGTTTTAATGCGACCGGACGCGTCCGGTCAGTGGTGACCGGACACTGTCAGCGTCCGGTCAACACATTTTCACTGGTATGCGAGTTGAACTGACCGGAGCGTCCGGTCACCCCGCAGAGGCACATAACGGTTCGTTTTTCAGGCTGCCTTATAAATAGAAGCTCCACTCGTGTGTGGAGTGACTTTTGCTCATTTCAACAACTAAGAAACACGTTTGTGAGTGCCAAGAAGAGCAAGGTCCTAGTAAGGTGATTGAGATTTGAGAATCCAAGAGAGTAGCCTCATTAGTGAATCAAGAGTAGACAAGTGTGCATCCATCTTCTCATTATGCTTCGCGTGGTCAAGTGAGAGTTTGTGCTTGTTACTCTTGGTGATCGCCATCACCTAGACGGCTTGGTGGTGATTGGGAGCTTGGTGATCACCCGGCGGAGCTTGTGGGTGACCCAACTCAAGTTGTGAGCGGCTTTGGGTGATTAGCAGCGACGGAGTGTCGAAGAATCAACCCGTAGAGAGCACTTGATCCTTGCCCGGATCAAGGGGGAGCTATACCCTTGCGTGGGTGCTCCAACGAGGACTAGTGGGGAGTGGCGACTCTCCGATACCTCGGCAAAACATCGCCGCGTTCCTCTCTCTCTATTTACTTTGAGCATTTACTTTGAACAATTCAATACTTGTCTTTACATTCATAGAATTGTCATGCTAGAGTAAGTTTGGAACATAGGTTACTCGTCCGTTGTGCGTTAGTTTATTAGAAACCTTTTCAAAGCACAAGGGGTTAATTGGGCTAACCGTAGGATTTAATTATTGCAAGAAAATTTAGAATTAGCCCAATTCATCCCCTTCTTAGACATCTTAATCCTTTCAGGGATTTACAATATTTTATTTTCCTAAGTCAACTGAAATCTAGATTATTTGAAAATATCACTTGCTATCGAAAGCATATCACGTTACAGAAAATTTGTAATTCTCTCGGATGCGTGTTAACATTTTCTAGTTTGCAAGAGATCTGCACACCACACCAGTGCGCAGACTAAGCAAGATTATTTGGTTAGGATGAAATGGCGCTATACGTGGTAGCCGGCATATTTATCAATAGCAAGGTGCCTATGATAACTCTATCAAGTCTAATATTTATCGCCATGGTTTCTGTGAGGTCGTACTTATAGACATAAGTTGTATGTACATGTACCTAGACCTACGTCTACTGTATTTCAGATAAAAACTTTGACGTGGGTGCCTATCCAATTTATTACTCTCTCCATTTCAAATTATAAGATATTTTGATTTTTTTTTAGATACATGGCTTTTACTATTCACGTAGACATACACTATGTCTAGATACATTAAATTAATATATATGAAAAAGGCAAAATATTTTATAATTTAAAATAGAGGAAATATGCATTTGAAAAGAAAAACTAGAATATGGGTGAGCACAAGATCAACTATCCAATTTACTATTATATATTTTTCACTAATAGGAATCCAAAACAAGGTGTTTCTCGATGTCAACAATTTTCCCTGTTCGGCTGCAAGGATTGCAGCTTATACCGTGGTTCCTCAAATTCTACATCTAAGTCCATGTAACCATTTAAAACATTGACTGTGTAATGCTAAAATTCGTATACATTAACCATCTATATAAGGTTCAATATACGTAAGATTCATCATGAAGACATGAAAAAACATTATTATAATATATGACCCTGTATATGTGTAATAATATAGTTTTACTACAGATATACTCATCAAAGTAACATATTGGAGACAGGTGTTGATTTCTGAATAGTTTTATATTTGTGATTAGAGGATGCAGAAGCTTCACCGTTATCTTTCTGAAAATATACTAATACTAAACAATATAGTATACATAAGACATATGCTTTCCGTTGACATGGATTTGAGTAATGAGAATCTTTCTTTTTTGAAAGGTTTATTAAATCATCAAGTCAATCCCCTTATATATAGTAGTAATGGTAACTGAGATCCAAATATGCCATGGAATTTAATGACGGCACGTCTCTGTCGCTGCTGAAATGTGGAAAGCAACATCTCAAAACTATGCAAACTAGTATTAGCTTTGTGCCTATGGTTGGAACTTTGAGTTTAATACGTAACATAACAAAAAAAATCTGATGTTGATTGAGACTGAAATTATATTGAAACAATTTCTGATCCACGTTGACTATGACACTGGCACGCGCACACATAAATAAACTGAGGGAATGCTTTTTCTGCTTTACCGTGAATAATGACAGGACCGTGTCGCGGCCCAAAGCTGTGGAGGTCGTGGTGTCAAGCAACAGGTCGAGGAAGTCATTCTTCCGGGGATCGCCGGCATCACGCTCGCACAACCTCCGGTCGATCTCCACATCGAACTCCTGGTGCAGCCGTGCAAACAACTTCGCCAATCTCCGGCGCAATCCTTGCAGATCGGCCCAAGCCAGCGCTGGGAACAAATCCGACACATTGGGACTCGCGGCAACCTCCATGATCTCCGCCACCACCTCTTGGAATCCTTTCGACCCGGTGTGGTCGTCGAGGTTCGTCAGGTTGCAGGAGAATATTGTGCGCGAGGGAAGATTCAGAGACGTGGCGAACGCCACGCGGCCGACGTCCACCGCGCTTCCCTGCAGTGCCAGCATCCGGACGTGGCCCACGAGTTCCTCCACCTTCTGGAGCCGTAGGTGCTGGAGCGCGTCAAGGCGGTGCGGCGCGAACAGCTCAGCTGCCATCATTTTTCTGAGGGCGCGCCAGCGTCCGGAGTGCGGCAACCAGGGCACGGAGTTCTTCGCGTGGTCGCCGACGGCATGGGGCACAAACCGATTGGCGAAGACAGCGTCCTGCCTCTGCAGGAACTCGCGCGCAACTTCCGGTGAGGAGATCACCACCGTAGTGACCGCCCCCAGACGGAGCGACATGAGCGGGCCATGGGATTTGGCGAGGCTGGCGAGGGAGCGGTGTGGCTGGTCACCGAGGAGGTGGAAGCTGACGATTAACGGCAGTGGGCGGGGCCCCGGCGGAAGGCCCCGGCGAGCGTGGGCATACAGCTGGAGGAAGTATGCTGGAGGAACCAGCATAGCCATTACCATTTCTCTGTGCCCAGATGTGCGTGAGACTGGGACCTCCGCTTCTCAGCTAGATCATAAATATATAGCCAATGAAATGATGTACTCGTGTACCGTTCATTGATCTGTTCAAGTGTAATTTATCTGTACATACATGTACCTATTTGTGGATAGTACAATATATAATGCCTTGGGATAAGATTGTTTTTGCGGAAGCGACCTCGGGGCAACATAAAAATGAGTGCTCGAGGAGCGCGAGCGACATTTTTAATAATCTTCCCACCCTAACTTTTTTCCTTACTAATACAGTTCCCATGCTAACGCCGTAGCTTCATTTCAAAGATATACATAAAAACAACCATCATATATTAGAAAAATGAAATGGAAAAAAAGGGTTCATTTTCAGAGAAATATATAGAATAAACCATGACTTGAGCACGGTACATATATTTAATAAAGCATATAATTCCAATGCATCCCAAGGGCAATAACCATTCCTCTCCATATTAATAATTTTTAGATTATAGAAACCGTCAAAATTAAAATTACCACTCTGCAGTCTATATTGCAGTTTGCTAGGAAGACAACATAGGAAAAATTGCAATATTTCCAAAACTTTTTCAGTTCACCAATCCATCAACACAATTTTGGAGAGAAAAATGTTGCTAGTATAGAGCAGCTCAAGCGGCACATCGCCATGGCTAAATGTGCAGATTCCACCTAAGCCATGGGAGCGAGGAAGAGACAGAAGGGTACATGAACCATATCTATTAGGATCAGATTGTAACACCCTAAAATTTGCCCCTTTTGAAGTAGATGTAAAATAAGGTAATTTTGAATTTATGTGCTCATGAAAACATAGGAAAATAAAAAAATTTATTAATTTAAAATTTATCATAAGGTAGCAACATATTTGTGCATACATACCGGTGCATTTGATTTATTGTAATGAGTGGTTAAATCCAAAATTCGAAATGAATTTAAAATGCTTTTGAAATTGGCTTTGAAGTGAAAGAAAAGAAAATTTGAAAATAAAAGAATTTAAAAAATTGCAAAAATTATTTTTGGGAAGACTTACTAAAATTCCTCATTTTTACTTGAGTTGAAAAAGTATATTTGAAACTCTATTTGAATTTGATTTGGTTTATGTTTGGATTTGGAAAAAAATTGGAAAAGGAAAACTCACTCTCTCCACTGCGCCGGCCCATTCAGCTTCACGTAGCACAGCTGCCCTGGCCTGCCCTCTCTTCCTCACTGCCTTTGTCCGTGTGGGCTTTTGCCCTAGCACCGGACCAGCTCCCTTCCTCCCAACTGTGCGGCCTGCTTCTCGCTCCCCACTTCCCCGCTCGGCCTTTGCTCCCAGTGGCCCATCCCGGTCTCCCGCTCTCGCGCACGGGCCCAGGCCAAAGCCGCGATGCAGCGTTCTCTCTCTCTCTCCCTCTCTCTCTCTCTACGACTGACGCGTCGGGCCCACTTGTCGACGCCTCCTGTTCCTCTGCCGCCAACCGCTCGGGACCGCATGTCCGATCCGTCCCCGTCCTCCAATTTGTGTTCGGCACGGACTCAATGGTGGTCGTGTCCACGCCGCTCTCGACTCCACCCTTGCCTTGCGCCCTACGCTACGTCGACCCTTAAATAGTGAGCCTCCACGCCCGTGCCGTCCCCCACCGAGCCCTAAAGCAAGCCGCAGCCGCCTCACCGCGTAGCCCTAGAGCCACCGCCGCCGTCGCGCTCGTCACGCCGCGTTGATTTCTCGTGCCATCGCTTCGTTGACAAATTAGAGTCCTTGACCAGCTTCATAAGACGGTAAGGAAGCCCCCGTTCCCTTCTTTTGCTCCCTCCTGCTCTCTGCTAGCTTCGTGCCGCCGCTGAACCAGCACCAGTCGCCAAATCGCGCCAGCCGCCGTCACCATCCCTCCCCTGCTACAACCGATACCTCCATCGAGTTAGATGTAACCTTCTTTACTTCCCCATGCTATCCGTTGAAGAAATCAAGCCCGGAATCGCCACCTGGGTGTACTCCAGCGAGGTGCTCTGTTTCTCGGCCATGACGCCGCCGTCGGCTACAGCACCGGTCACTCCTCCCTCTCCCAATCAATTTCAATCGTCCGATCAAAGATCTGTGGCCCAGATTAGAAGATATCCTTTTGCTGGTATTTTTATTAAAGAGCCCCTCGATTTTGAAATATTTGTGCCCGCGGTCCATTGCGTATTTCACAGATTATGCTTTCTTCTTTTAAAAGCGTATTTTGTTCGGTTGACTTCAAAAGTACGTTTTCATCTATTTACGGTTTTGCCACTAATCATGTTTAAGCCATAAAATCTCCGTTTTAACTCTAATTTGACCCGTTCAAATTGCGTTAGGTTCGTAATTTTATAATCTATATGTTCATACTACTGTTAGATATGTTTTCAACTTTTAAAATTCGATGTTAGATTTAATCTATTATTTTAGTAAAGGGAATCTTTTATTTTATATCTTTTACGTTTAAGCTCTGATCTGACCTGTTCAAGTTGTGCTAGATTCATTATAACGAGATTACGCGTTAGTAACAATGTTTATTATATCACGAATTCTAGAATTTCATGGTTTAAACTCTAATTTGAATAATAATTATGTAACTAGATTTTATAAATAAAATATGATTTATTTTACTTTAGTTTTATAATTCAAATCTAAGTTTGACTTAATTCAATATATATAAGCCTTTATATAGTGAAAACCATGAAGCTTATAGTTTTATATTTTCTTTTGTGAGTAGATCTTTCGGAAGCCGTTTCTTTTAAACCATAGCTCCGATTAGCGTGCCTCTCGTGACTGTGTTTTCGTAGCGATGCGTAGAATTATGTTTCAAACTCTTTTACTTATTTTTCTATGATTGGTATACTGTTCTAATTTAGATCTATTGTTTGCTTCGTGTATGATTGCATGGATGCTTGTGTGGTGCTTTATGATCATGTCTAGTCGGTGAGTTATATGTGATGAATTAAGAAGCAGATCTTTGTAGTTTTGGACTCGAAGAAGGATCTAATTTTAAGGCAACTATAGCATGGGATCTTCTTTAGTGTCCTATACACCTTTAATTATTTAATTCATACTGCATGTGTCTACTTTAACTGCCACTAAGGATTTTCTAGTGTTTTGTTACCTTGTGCCTTGTTACCTATGGGGTATTGCATTGGGTAGTGTGATGCTAGTGCTCAACTACAACCATGATCTTGTAACTTGACTGATGGTATATGCAATAAACACTAAAACATGATTTTTTAGCAACATGAAAACAAGGGGCTGGAGTGTTTAGCTACTTTCTAAATGCTCTAGATTCCTCTCCCTAAGGACTTATCTGTAAGTGATCATCCGGGACTTACAGTACAGCTATGAGGGCTACATGGCTCTGGCTTTAGCTCAGTATGAGGATATTTTCTAGCTTGTTAGTGGTTACCTTTATAGCGCAAGAGGGGCTCCGATTTGTATGATCTCGGCCAAAAAGGAATCACTTTGGTTTCTTTGTATTTTTTAGTCACTCTTTAGAGGGGGGTTTCATGCTTATTGATGGGAAAACCTTAGCGGCCCTAACTTGTTGGACGAACCTTTAAAAGGCTTCATAGTGAACCCTGCCGACCTTCCTAGTGTAGTGGGTCAAGAGGTTGATCACCTCGGGCAAAAAAGGTAAATCATGACTCACAGTGAAATTGTACAACCTCTGCAGAGTGTAAAATTGGTATATCAACCGTGCTCACGGTCACAACAACCTTGGAACCTTAAAGAAATAGATGATGAACACTAATGATACTAATAATAAAGATGCTCACTAATGATTACTGTTTATGCTATTCATTATTCTTGTTTACTTGATCATATGTTTATATAGGCTTGTGAATAAATTTGTTGCCTCCCAATTGTTAAAAGATGACTCATTAAAAGCTAAACGCAGTTGAACCAGTGTGAGCCTTTTGAGCCTTATGAACCCCATGTTATATTTGTTGAGTACGACATGTACTTACGCTTGCTTTACTCTTTCAATATTAAGATAAAAAACCCGGATGGATACCAGATCGCTAGAGTTTGGAGGAATTAGGCTTGTGATCAACCAATCAGTAGTCCCTGTGGATTTGGAGTATTCGCCTAAAGATTGGAGTTGTCTTTCCGCTGTCTATACTCTGAGGTCAAATTTTTTATACTAATATGCTATGTATTTAAGCATTGTCTATTGATATTACATTTATTTGTATCTATATGTGAGATTTTACTTCCTAGATTCACATATGGTGTGTATCTGGTTTTATTCTTAAAACCGGGTGCTACACAGACCGGACCGACAGTCGGACCGCTAAAAGACCGAACCAGAGCTTAAATCTGTCCGGTTCACTTAAAAGACCCCTGTAAAGACCCCTGTACAATAGAACGGGTAAAAACCTGTTGAACCGGCCGGTTCTGTGCGAACCGACCCGGTCTGGTTGCTGGTTGCGTGCGGCGTGAACTGCAGGTGCCCGTCTGTGTACTGTCGCATGTGGGCCTGCCTGGTTGCTGATGCGGGCCAGCTGCTGGTATCTGGTGGGCGCTTGAAATTTTGGACGTGCGCGTGGAGCATGGTGGCTTGACGTGTGCGTGGGTCACCGTGGTGGTTGCGTGTGCAGTTGACTTGGTGACATCAGCGCTGTCTTTTTAATTTCAAATTTTTATAACTTTTTTCGTATGGGCATAGTCCATTGTTTAGGAATCCAATCCGGATGTGAAGTATAGGTATGTGTATGGCAAGGGAATGTGCTTTCGATAGTCTCTCGGCTTCTTTCTTTTTTCTGCCAAGGATATTCTTATCAACTTATCTGAAAAATAAAAAAACAAAAGCTTTACATCATCTTTACTTAATCTAGACGGAATCGAGACCTTGACTTCTTCTTAATTTGCTTCGATTGTTCTCTTCGCTAACCAGAGTATACCACTATTTCTAACCTTTTGAAGAGGCAAACCCATAGGAGACAAGGGATGAATGGCAGCTATCGAACGAACTTTGAAGAAAAGA